GCATATAGAAATATCACTGTTAAAATAGTGCCCAATACATCAATTGTAGAGCTATATAAAAGTACCATTGTTAAAATAGTACTCAATACATCAATTGTAGAGCAATATAGAAATACCACTGTTAAAATAGTTCTCAATACATCAATTGTGGAGCGATAGAAATACATGTACCAATGTTAAAATAGTTCTCAATACATCAATTGTGGAGCGATAGAAATACATGTACTAATGTTAAAATAGTACTCAATACATCAATTATGGAGCGATAGAAATACAAGTACCACTGTTAAAATAGTTCTCAATTCTCAATTGTAGAGCTATATATAAAAATACCACTGTTAAAATAGTGCTCAATACATCAAGTGTGGAGCGATATAGAAATATCACTGTTAAAATAGTGCTCAATGCATCAAGTGTGGAGCGATATAAAAATACCACTGTTAAAATAGTGCTCAATACATCAAGTGTGGAGCGATATAAAAATATCACTGTTAAAATAGTACCCAATACATCAATTGTAGAGCTATATAGAAATCTATAATTTTTTTTATATAAAATAGTTGAAAGTTTATCATGTTTTTATATAAAACTATATTCTAGTTTACAACAGATTGTATTATTACGTGTAAAATAACTTGTCACAGTTTTTATCACGTTTGTATCATTAGCGTAGCCTGTAAATTAACCCCTGTTATTCTATGGAGACCTATTGTGACCTGTTATTGAACGATATTTTTTCTACTTTTAGTAAGTGAGAACCAGAAAGGGATAAAAAAAAATGAAGATGGGGAAAGAAATTGGATGTTTATTGGTTCTAATTGTGTTCACTTTAGCTCAAAATATAGATAAACCATTTTTAGGGTAAGTAACTTTGATGCTTTGGAGCAATGAATATATTGTACACATGACAGCCACAATACTACCACCGTCATGTGCTTGGTGAAATGAAGGGAAATAGGAAGAAATGTCTTTCAAATTTGCTCTTAGTTGAGCAATATAGTATGCCATCGAAGAACAGCTGCTTAGCCTACTTGTTTTTGACTTCACTTCTAGTTCGCAGAAAAAAAACATGCCCAGGTTCAAGCATTCGTAACCTTGTTGTTTTCACTCGAGCGAATAGGCGTTTTCAGAAACATTTCGGCCTATATTACTGACAGGGCGAAACCAGGTAGAAAAATCGGAAGGTACTATCTCGAACATTGAATCACATGGTCAGCGTATATTTAACTAAGCCATTGATTACCTGATTATGAGGTTATGACCATAAAACGTGACGTAATTTCACTTTAAATGTTTTTAAGTCCTATAATAAAATTTCAAAACGCCCAAATGTCGGTTCCATTGAGTGTATTATATCATACACAATGTCTTTAACCTTTAAATAAAAGAAAAGTCTTCAAATGTGTGATTAGGTGTGTACTTGTAATTTATTTATTATACACTTTGGTAACCTTGACTTCAATCGTATTATTTAACAGACCCATTTTTTAATAATGAGACATATAGTAAATACTTAAATATTATAAACGATGTGTTAGAAGCACTACAGTCAATATTTATTAAGGATTCTAATATAAGAAATAAGGGCTACAATTAACCTGCTTCAGTAAATAGTCTTATGAACACCATTGTAAATAGTCAATGGTAATTTGTATTTAGTTTTCAAAAACATGGCTTGGAGATTCGTTTTGAACATTTGCTATAAATTTGATATTAGTTCGAAAACAAGAAAACTTTAAACAATTTTATTATTATGATTATGGTGTAAAAGAAAGGTTTTAATCGTGTTGCTAAAAGTAGTCGTGTTTTTTTTATGGATGAGGGGGCAGGGATGGGGGTTGATGAAATTTCTTTTACGAACATGTGATATAAGATGACTTAGACCTTTGATTTCAAAGTGAAGAAATAAGATGAGACACAAGTTGAAAAATATTTGGCCTTTGGTGCGCACATCGTTTAAGTTTAAATCTTTTATATTCTATTATTGGGTAAAACAGATCTTACTACGTTATTATTGCTATAACTAGTGCATAAGACTGAAATTGAAATTTTGAAATATAGATGAAAAAAATAAACTCATCTTCCTAGCCATTTCCTTCTCAAGTTAATTTTAAATACGATGAGTCCCTGGACAGCCATCTGATAAGAGAATGAACGGATATAGAAGAACATGGATCCTGTTATTTAAATCGTCGATTCATCAACCTTAAATTTGATATACCAGAGGGATGTAAAACATACGTATCGGAAACAAATCAAAGGATCCAAGAGAAAAAAACTAATTTACTATTCTAAAAGGCAAAATGCATCATTATGTGTTGGACTTTTTTACGAGGATGAAAGGGTAATGCCATGCACTACACCAGCTCATTCATTTGTTCGCTCTTACAAAATTTGATATTTTTCATTGAATGGAGTATCTGTTTTTCACAATTCTCAAGTTTGTGAAGCAAATGTCGGAAATGGACATAGTAATAAGGGCTACACCATTTTGATAGTGCTATCTATCGAAATTTTAATGTCTTTTAAATGTCCTCTACCCCGGAATATATATTATTATGAAAAATTCAATTTCAATACTGACTTCTGAATTCTAAAATCGAATAGTATAATTTCAACAAAGATTTTTCTTTCAGACACAAAGTTCTCCGAATAAAACCGTCCACCCCAGAAGATGTTCAAACTTTATCCAATTTAGAAAACAATTTAGAGGTAAATCAACTTGTGACAATTATCTCAATATATAACAGTCCAATTTTTATCAATTTCAATACATTCCTGCACACGTCAAATAGAATTTGCATATTTCATTTAGAATTTTGAATTTTCGATCAATTTTAGATATTTCAATTCGACTGTGAACTTTTCATCACATTTTTAAAAAAGTAATTTAATATTTGGAATATTATTGTATAGTTTTTACTACATATATATCAGTTAGATTGTAAACATTTCAGTTATAGGATAAACATTCAAGTGTGATTTAGAGTATTTCATCTCATGTTTCCGTTCGACTTTGAATATTTCAGTTAGGTTTTTAATATTTCAGTTAGATTTTTGGCACATGCCTCATTCTGATGATGGTCACATGGATGTTAGAGTAAAACCAGAATTTTTACAACAATTATTAAATAAAGTAAAACTTTTAAACTTGGAATATCAAGAAATCATTCAAGATGTTCAAAGGTACGCTTATCGAATGGGTTTATTTTAAATATATGATTCGAAATGACAAATATTTTCGATGGATAGGATATTATTAAAGCAGTCCGTGCACTGTTTAACACCTCGGTATAAGCTGAACGATTCTGATTTAAAATAGTGCTTATTATATTTGAGACATACAGCATACAAAAGACTGCCAAATCAAATAATCACAAGAGACAAAATCTGATGACCATCATTATCTCAAACAGCTCATTTGAAGAATTTGCTAACACTTTTTCCTTCCGAAGATCGTATTGTTTTTTTTTAAGTATATTAACTTTCTGTTGCAGCTTGGTTGACCACGAACATAGAAGCGTACGATCTAAAAGAGCTATCAGTGATTTACAAAGTTATACTACAACCTATTTGTCGTATGCACAAGTTAGTTAATTTAGAAAAAATTTTCATTCCTGTTAAATCAGAAATTTGTGCTGATTTTAGAGTTTCCTCCCTTTATATTGAAACCATCATCAAGTATACTCCAATAACTCAACAATCCAGCATGCAATATTATAACAATAGACCAACCTTGCTTGTGACGTGTAGAAAGAAATAGTTCATAAGTTTGCCAAAGATGAGATTAAAGGTCTCTCGAGATACATCAGGCATTTCTGTATCAAATTGTAATATAAAGGCTATGTAAGAGTTTCTATTTTCCTGAAAATATGATAAAAAAAAACCTGTCCACTATTATCTATTATCGAAGGTCTTCAATGAGTTGTAATGAGCTCTGTGAGATTTTGTTGACCACTGTAGAAATATTATTGATTTAATATTTGACTCATTTATTGCAGATAAATGAGTTTTTAGGCAGAGTAGCAAGAGAAAGTGGATATTCTCAACAAGTCTATCTTGGTACCAGCTATGAAGGTCGACCCACCTATGCCATAAAGGTACATTATGTATTTATCTCTACATAGCCGAGGGCTGCAGTTGTTCAGTGAGTTAGACACTTGCTCCCTCGCGTAATAGTCCACTGGGTGAATCTCAGCATAGTTCGAGATAATACCTTCGGATTTTTCAACCTATCACTGACAGTGATTCAGATCAAAGAGGCTGACCTTGAAAAAGCGTCTAGTCCTTCTGATGGGAAAACACGAAACGTTGCCCGTCTTCAATAGCGCTATCAAGTGCAGAGATGTAAGACGTTAAACACAATTTCATTTCTAGATCGAACTCCTTGTTTTATTACAGATTGGCTATTCATCAAATAACCCTAATAAACCAGCTATATTTATTGATGCTGGATTCCACGCCAGAGAATGGATCGCTCCTGCTACAGCAATAAACTTTATATATCAGGTAATACATTCATTCTCAAACATATATGATGTTATTGGCCTACATATACAGACAATGTTAGAGACTTAGCAGATGCTATTCTTCCTGAGAAGACAAATCACATGGTAATAACAAAGTCCAATTGAAACAATTTTATAGGGTTCATAATTCCATACATCAGACAAGGCGCTATCTAATTTGAGAATCTTGCCTCTAGTTCTCAGAGAGTTGGAAATAACAAGAAATGTTTTCGAGTTATTGCCGTCGTTTAAGCAAATGCTTTAAATTTAAAAAAAAAAATTTCTCGGTCTGAATTTTTTTTTGTCCTTTTGTGGGGTGCCGTGAAATGGTCAACTTATGTATTATAGTATTATGTATTTTAGTTAGCTATTAATCCTAATGAAGATTCTCAACTTGATGAATTAGTAGATAAGTTTGATTTCTATATAGTACCTATTGTTAACCCTGATGGCTATGAATACTCTAGACAAAATGTAAGTTTTGTGATTTTGATATGTAAGAATCGTATGACCTAGTATGATGCCTAAAAAATATCGTATTAACTTGTTAAAAAGGGTATCCCACTGTTAATTTTTATGTTGTGTCACATTTCCATTACGGCTATCTCTATTCATACCTGATTTATTCGATTTCACCCGAAGACGGAAGTTGAAATCTAACTTCGTTTTTAAACACGAAGAACTTGCGGATTTAAGTAAATGTTTTGCGAAACGTTAGAAACGTCTTAATCTTAAAATTATCAAGTTACTTCCCTTGATATGACTGTTTTTTTTTTTTAAATTTGTCTGAATCATGTTTAATTTTTAAGTCTTGTTTAGCAGTTTTCTCCCTTTATATACTGAAAGTTAAAAGGAATTTAAAGTTAATATAAATTAGCGCGACAGTTATTCCTGCATTATTTTCCCTCAGTTAATTTTTAACTTTTTTAGGGTAATAACAGGTTTTGGAGAAAAACTAGAAGTCAAACTTCCTCTAAATGTTTTGGTGTTGATATTAATAGAAATTTCGGTTATCAGTGGAACCCCAGTAAGTATGGAAAGTGTTTGTTAATAAAAACATTAAGGAATATCGCAAAAATACGTGTAGATACCTTTTCTTGAATGCCTGATAAGTAAATCAAGCATATTGTATCGAAAGATTTGCTAGTTGACTTAATGGAAGAATTAATTAGAATTGGAAGTTGTTTAATCAGGTGAAAAAGACAATTATATTAGGAAATCTTCAAGGCTGTGTCATTTAAACTATCCGGTAGGTGTAAGTTTTCATACTGCATCATCCCTAATGGTAGTTCCTGTTGATCCACAGTCATCAATCAAGGATAACGATTTGCCTAGCTGTTATCCATACTTTATTTTACACTGTACTTCAATAGGTGCTGGTGGTTCAAGATATCCATGTTCTGATTTATACGCTGGTAACTCCAGTTTTTCTGAAATTGAAAGTCAAAATATTCGAAACTTCATGATAAGCAAAAGACCGAATCTTAAAGGATATTTAACCCTCCATTCGTATGGTCAATTCTGGTTGTATCCTTGGGGTTATTCAGCATCTGATGTACCATCTGATAACTCTATCTTGGTAAGTGCTTTAGTACCAATTTATTCATGCATGCAGGTCACTGTCTGAACGTTCTAATTTCAAAACATTTACATGATTTGTATAACTTATTCTTGGCCTCACTGTTTATTTCATAATCTTTGATGTTTGTCCATTTCTGAATTGCATAGTAGCAGATGCAAATTTTCATTTTATATCCATAGTCTATAAATTAGCAGATTTACCTCCCTTGAAACGCATGGTCAAGTTACCTTGATATGTGTTCAAGAATCGTGGTGTACCTTAATGTCGCTGTCCTGGAAGTGTTCATTTGTAAAACACTGCATGGCGTTGTCAATCTTAGATTTTGTATAGAAAAGGGGGACGTTAAACCCATTTACTTTTAATTTCAGGAAGCCATAGCTAGGAATGCTACTTCTGCTATGCAAAACAGATACACAATAGGACGTTCTGCTGCTGTTCTCTGTAAGTAGACCTACCGTTTGACTTGAATTATAAATCAATGTCGAATCTTATATCCTTATCCATCTCCGAGTATTGTTTATACCCTAGGAACAGCCTCTTAATTTAAGTTGGTAGTCAGCAGTAACTAAGCTTATCAGTTCAATTTATGCCAAAGTATAAAAACTCTATTGATATCGTTATAATTTGATTATCCCTAGATGTTGCTGCTGGTGGTTCAGATGATTACGCGAAAGGTGCAGCAGGTATTCCCTATGCTTATACAGTGGAATTACCACCCACTGGATATACTAATCGAGGTTTTGCTTTACCAGTGTCTTCAATCCCTGGTGTTGCAACAGATACTTTAAAAGGATTGAAGGCTTTCTCATACAGTGTTGCTAATCGTATTGGTTTATCGGCAGCCCCACCAACAACTACCAGAGCACCGTATGTACCGCCCAATAACCAATTGACGAACAATTACTACCAGTTCTGGTGGAATCATTATTTTGGAAAATAAATGCCTTCCAGTGATTTGGTTCAAAAGCAATAAAATGGTTTTTAAAGGGTTTCTGTTTTATCTTTGTAATTCCAACCTGTTGTTCTCATTGAGTTATCTAGTTTAAGTGACAAAATGGTCTTCCAAATGAATTAGTCGATATAGAGAATGCTTTCATATTTCTTACAAGGGAGATACAATTTGTCAGTAACATTATGTAGGTGTGCATTATTTCGTGGTCAGTAATAACATACAGTAAATAAATCGATGGCAGTGATACCTTATCCTTTTAGTACTGACCAAGTTAGACTTGAATGTTTATTACACACATACCGTCGACATCACCGACAAATGGGATATCAATTTGTGCCGAAAGTCTTTGCAATGGTAAAAATATTAACATGAGCACCCATTCTATCTTGTTTTTACACTGGACCATTTTCAATCAACTCGATTTACCGACGAAGACAGTAGTTATCAAATGGAACTCCAGTAGAGGATATATGTTATTTACATAAACTGGCCATTTAATAATAATATAAGACACTGTCATGGGAGACAGCAGTTTCATTTTATAATGACATTGCAATAATTGATGAACTGTGGATCAATTGCCGGCCACACACTAAAACAATAGGGCAAAGTTATCCCTTGGCGGATCTTCCAGGAGGAAATTGTTCGTCTAACTTTTCTTCACCTGATTAGGTCGATGAGGACGAGTAATACCAACAGGCTTAGTATCTCAAGTCTGTAGTTATATTTGAAATAAAGTCTACAGTTACAGCTAAACGTTCTAATGATTAAAAATAGGAAATCTGATTATATTGTTAATGGTTCATGTAGCCAATGTAGTTCATTCAGCAAGGCTTACTCCTCTGTTGACAAAAATGGAAAAAGCAAAAACTATTTACAGAAATTAAATAAACTGTGTCCAATGGGATTTTTAAACAATTCCTGTTATTTTGAAGCTGTCGCATAATCCCCACATAATCTGATATCATGAATAATTCACTCGGATGAAGTAGCCACATACTGGGATTGGTATTTCTTTTATCATGCGAGACATCTTCTGCACTGAAAATTCAAAAAACGTCAAACACAATTTTATAATGCGAAGGTTCAGATTTTAAAGAGATAAAAAAATGGCCGTAAAGGATTGAGTGTTTGCCTCAAAGAACAATAAGAAAAAATTTTTAAAAGAGATAAAACGATATTTTCCGACTTATTTGAAATTGAATTTAACCTTTGTCTTTTCGTGCCTTAAGTATTAAACGAAAGTAGAATAACAAAGGGGAGATATATTATCATCAAAGTGAAATATCAGTGATTTTAACGAGGTAAGAATGATGGAGGTTTCCTCAAGAGAATAGCATTAATTTGTTCTCGAAATGGAAGATTTTCAAACAGTTAAAAAATCAGACGGGGGAATACAAATTAACTGGTTTTACTACGGGCAATTTTATTTCAAGATATAGAAAGACAATCCTCTTAGATTCTTTAATCAATAATCTAATTTCTTTTCGGGAATATTTTAATTCTTAGATGACATGTTAAATAGACATTTGAAATTTTATATTGAAACTGAAGATACACAATTCGACCATATATTTGAAATGGGTCCTGAAATAAAATGAAGTTAATAATCCTAAGCCTAGTACACGTAATACACCATAATAAAGTGTGGTTTCAGGGTCAAAACAGATTGGTCATCCTTGAAATGGGTTCCAAGATTTTATTTTCTGTTCCTTATTGGCTTTTGAAACGGGTTGCAAATCCTTATAGGTCCTCAGTTTTCAACCCAATGTTTGTGTGGCACAAACCGGCATGCTCGACAGAGACTTCCATGCTCGACAGAGACTTCCATGCTGTTTGGTGTTTGCTGCTTGCATACTGCATTGAGTTGTCCGTTTTCGCTAGCCTTTTGCAGACAACAACCCCATTCTAAAATTAATACATAGTCTTCCAAATAAACTCTCCTGCTGTTCCAACATAAGAAATAAACTTTTCTTTCAATCATTCGTGAGAGCACGAGATGTGAATATCTCAAATAGATTTCAGTTGTTCGTCAAATCTTTATCTAGATATATTTTAAAATATCTTTCATTCAGAAATTGAAAGTTCTATTACGTTTCATTTGACCTGTCTGGTCATTGTTCTCTACAACTTCCGGCCTCTTTCGTCTATAGCGGAAACCAAACTAAAATGGTATATAAATTTGGTTTTTTTTTTTACACACAAATGATTTTCCGAAATGACATTTTTTAGAAGTATTTCCAAAAATGGAATCTGTATCAATGACCAAACGATTATAAAGGGTAACTGATATTTATACAAAAGAATAATTTTTGATGTCTTTCAAGATTGCGCTGAACATTATCTCTTATTATTTGAACCCAACTTCTGTCTGTCGAAACGATTTCAAATCTGTATTCCCGATTAATCACTGGAGCATTCAAAACATTGTATTGGCACTGTGACGATATTGCTGTATAAATTATGTTTGTAGTTTCACGCGAGTTAAATATCGGCAGTAATTTTAAATGTAATTGTTAATGTTTGCACAACCTCTAGTTGGAAAGATATTTTTGAGGGAAATATTGTCAATTCCTGTGCGAATCTTTGAAACAAAGACTGCACTGGATGAAGATGATTGTTGTATAGTTCCCACCTCTCATTATCTTGCTGGTCAAGATATACAGTAGGAGAAGCCGAAAAATAAGGCAAGAATATCGTACCATGAATCCTTGTCATTATACTTTTAATCAATGGAAAACAATCACACGTTTAACAACACGATTCATATAGCATAGAACCAGATGGTGCTTGACAACTTTATCAAAATTTAGCTTCTGATTATGGTCGAAAAACATAGTAGAATGAAGGTTGAACCAGATTGCGCAACATGTTTGACGCTGCTTTCCGTGGCACAGGATTGTCACCACTGTAAACGTTTTGGTTGCAAGTATATGATTGCAGAAGGATGAAAATGATTGAAAGAAAATATTGCTCCTGTGTAAACCTGCCTTATCTTTGTGTTCCATCATCACAGGGAATTGTTCAGTTATATATCAATAACTGTTTTGCAGCTCTCGATCATGCCCGAAAGATGAAACTCTCTGAAAACTAATTTAAAGGGTGCTAAGACGGTGACAAATGGTAAGTATGAAGAGATGTGTTTGTGACATTATTTACCGCCGTCATGGAGACCTCAATCAGAAATTTGTTTACTACTCCGGTGAATGAATGGAAATGTTAGTCTACTATCAATAACTTGACCAATAATAATTTGTATCGACACTGTTTCTTTAAGCATCTAATCAATAACAATTAGGCATCTAAACAATAACAATAATTTCTGATTTTCGTCTACAGTGGCAAAATCGTCTTGAGGGTATCATATTAATATGATTTTATCTAGATTTGCAGTTTTATATTAATCGAACCATATGATATGTCTGGCACTGTCGTTATATACATATTCAAAGTTAAATATGTAGAACATGGGGCCAAATTCATATTGTCTTCGCACTTTCGAATTCTACTGATTATTTATATAATTTTATTCAAATAAGCGAAGACTCTCATATATTATAAGCGGCTTTTGCGATACCGCAGAAACAAAAACATTTTTCTGGAAATTGATGAAATGATGAAAATAGAAGCCATAAAAAGAGATAGAAAAACCTCATTGCACTCCATTTCAAACAAAAACAACAATGATATAACAAGTTATTGCTCTCTTCCATGATATACATGCTTATCAACTGACACGACAGTCTTGTCCCTTGTGGTTTAATATTACCCGATAAACGTAGTTAAAACCCATGTTAATCCTTATCTATCAGGAACAGAATGGTTAAGCTTCTGACTAAATTACTACAGTACTAAATAATGTTGTAAGTCATTATCTAAACTAAATAGTTGACGTCTAGTGGGTAATAACAATTTGTATCATATTGTTGTATTATTCCCGACTATTTGGTTAGTGTTGTTCTGGTCATTCCTTCATATATGCCTTCATATCTCAATATGCCATCTTTATTCAATACGGCTCTTTCTGTTCAAATTTGTATCAAGCCACTGGACAAAATCGGCAAATATTTGAATATGCACACAGCCATTTTCCCAACCACCAGTGACAAATTAACGATAAGGACCAATATCAGTTTATGATAAATTGAATTTTGAAATTTCTACTGAATGAATTTTAACGCAACATAACATACACCAAACCTAAAGCTTCCAATGAAGCCAGTGTTTAAGGACGCAGTGTTTAAGTAATGCCGGTATGATGACTGGTATCGAAAAACTGTTGGATGGAATAATAATCCGCACTCCCATATGCTAGTCTACCACCTTCAAGATCCTTCGATTGTTGGCAACATTTTCTTCAATGCCCTCGGTATGGCGTTTGACGTCTTCATTATCGTATTCTATTTATATCACAATAAAAATCCGTACAAGCAAGCAATTCCGTTAATCAAAATTCCGTTGCCAAAAGTCAAAAGTGTGGCAAATCGTAATAGTTGTATTGTAGTGGAAGTACCGTCAGGCAAACATGGCCTGCTTCATCCGCAAAACCCACCACTAGAATATATGGCAAAATCATGAGAAACAACCAGATAATATTCATTCAAATATGGTTTTCAATACTCTGAAATGAGTGAAATATCCATCGGTATGGTGTGCAGAAAATAATGGATGAATGAAATGAAGCATTGAACGAAATGGATAGGTAATTTATTATGAACAATAAACATATACTTCCTGATTGTCAATAATGAAAATTTAATGGTGAGTATGAGCCGTCACCAAGACTATGAAACAACAATTAAATCAAGTGGAACGACAGTATTTCTCATTCTTACACTTCATCTTTGTAGGTAGGTATGTTATCATTTCATTTATCTTATAATTGATTGTCATAAGTTTATTTAATCATCTATAACTTATTCGTTTAAATGTCTCATGTATGTTAGGCATAGTGCCAGGGCTGTAACTGAATCTTGTATTCTATTATGATGCAAAATCCTGTTGTCTTTGATGTCAGTTAGTAATATCCTTCATAACAAAGCTTCTAATAGACTTCAAACGGTAACCACCTTAGGAATAAAAAAGCGATATATTTAGCGTACTTCATGTTTATATTTATAATTCTTAAAAAAAAACTTGTTTTGCCAAACTCTGCATGAAGCAGAAATGCCTTGACGTATTGACGATCCTGGGTGCTCACTTTTCCTCCTACGCATATGATAGAACAATTTGATACCAATTTTGTATATTACCATATCCCTTGATGCATTTCATGTATCGCGAACACTCTTAATTTGAATACCATTTCGATGGACACTTAAATAGGGTACTAAGTTTCTTTCAATATATTTGTATATTATATATTGCTTATATATTTGTTTGAATTGGAAGAACAGTTTCCCATCCGTTTAAATTTAATTTGGAAACTTCTAAGGTTGTCTGACTGATTCGGTAAATCTACTGTTTTCAAGTAAGTTATGAAACCACATACTCGATCTTATTTCAGATTAAAACTATACAGTACCAGCATGGGGAGTGCTTCATCCAAGTCAAGATCTGGGGAAGGTAGGTAAAAGATTGAGTATACGAATATGTCATCACCACCTCTGCACAAATCGCCATGTTTTAAATTTAAGCTGAATAAAAACTGATGCCATAAAGTTCAATTCACATTTCTGTACTTTCCATTCTAGTTTGATTTATATCTTGTTATTCAAGAACAAAACATCATAAACTATCTTTATCGCGAAAGATTCTAATATGAGTAACATTGCTTTGTTCGTAATATCACAAACAAATGATATTGTATGCGGTCCGGAACAATGATTATATTTCCATAAGACATATTGTAATGAATCAATTATTTATTCAGGGATGACAATCAACAAAGATGATGACAGGACCGAGAATCAAATTAATACGGAGACAAACACAATGGAAAACGAGGCCAATAATGACAGCGTTGGTGAAACTTTTAGAGATGATTTCAGTCAGACGCTGTCCAAAAAAGAGCGGAAAGCGAGTAACGCAGAAAATAATTTGAATGAAGCGGAGGAAAATGCTGAAAACCAACTTGAAAGGAAAATTAACAACTTTGATAATTCAGTTGATAACATCGAAAAGAAAGGCGATCAGCAAGTCAGTGAGGCAGAAGGAACTGTTATAAGGAAAACGGACGGGATTGAAACGGATACAGACAATAAGGTTAATTCTGTGACTACTGGAACAAATATGAACCAGAATGATGTTAATACTACGGACAATCCCGAAGAAAAGGGGTTAAGATATGCCAAGAAAATGGAAGTAACCGTTGTTGATACGGGTGAAGACGATTTAGCGAATAAAGTAGGAAAGAAAAGAAAAAAGGTAAAAAATGAATCCGAAGAACACGTCGGAGACGAAAGTGAAAGCTTGAATGATTCAGTGAATAACGATGGAAATGATATTGGTCAAACCAATGAAAGTGTGAATATTGAAGAAACTCCCCAAAATGCGGTAGATGTTGATAAGACAGACTAAAACACAAAATAATGTTTTGACAAATGGTACCATATTTATGTGGTGTATGTGTGTTTATTAGGCTTCTTTAACTGTATTTTCGGTCGTAGTATTCATAGTTTTGTTTCAGGATACAATTGAATGTAATTTCAAATTGAAAAGATTTGACACTGCTCTAAATCATTATGTGTTCAAGGGGGGTTTCTAATCTGAAACGTGCCATTGGCATTACATATTAGGCTATATTAGCTGCTAAACCAAAATATGTGACCATTGTAACCCTTTCGACAATATACAATACTATGATTAACTTTCATACAGATATATATTTTTGTTGTAAATAAAAGTGACATTTCCATTAATAAATAAACATTGAATTTCACACATTTTTGTCTATCTATACAATAAGTAAAATCACACACTTTCATCGCGTAATGAACTTATCTTATATGATGGCCATACAAGATAGAAACATCCCACGTATTGGCTAAAGACGGAGTGCTAAGCAGATTGAAATAAATATGATCTCAATCTTCATTACAATTCTTTTATTATCACATCCTCCCACACCCATTTAGAATATCCTAGCTATTCATTAAACATTAATAAGAAGGCCATTCATTCCTTTCAAGTAAAGTATACGCGGAGAGAAAATAAAATAAATATGGGAGGTAACTCATAGTAAAATATTACTTTAATTTTATCCAGAGCTTTCGTACACACACTAAATCAAAATAGACAAAAATGTGGATTTTTATGGTCGGTTACTGAAAGTTACCACATTACAATATTCAAATCGGGACTGAATATTGACTTGTTCAAATACATACATGAAAAACTTATTGACCGTTTCCCTAAATTATATCGGTGGAAATGCTTAAATGGACGTCTACCTTTTCGAAACAATAAACCTCTACACCGTGTTCGATAGGCTATGCCCATTAGGGGTAAGGGAATCGCTATCCTAGTATTAGTAACTTGGAATAAATCACACAGTCTAGCATTTATCCATTGTGCTCCGGTGTTTTAGTCAGTTTTAATTTACTATCAAGACATCGAGCGTTAAAAAGTATCATACACATTTGTGGTTTGACAAGAAAGTAATTGACCCAAATAACATTTGAAAACCGTCCAATACTGTTTGACACGTTTCTGATTAATTGGGAGCTTGACTAGTGTCGGATTGTAATCTAAGAAATGGAATCTATGTGACTGTTTTAAATAAGGTTCGGCTGGAAAAGAAACTGTTCGTGACAGTAATTGTTACTGTGAGGTCATTTAATCAAATTATATCATTCATTGGAAAAACTTGGTGAATCATTGGTCCGATCCACTGTAACATGAAAAGAACTTCCAATAGGTATTTTAGGTTCATACAGATTCTTATACTAATATATAAAATTCCTGTTATTAAGTCACTTGTATTCCAAGCAAGAAACAAGAAACCATTTTTTACAAAGGTAACGTCTCAAAGGTTCATGAGGATTCTTGTACAGAATGGCCGTTGTCAAAATCTGGATAATCTGCACTCGTTATAGCTTGGCTGACTGAAATAAGAAGGAAAGCTGGCTTATTTAAGGTCACTATAGACTTCTACACGCTCATCCAGATCAGTACCAACAACAACCATTGATTCTCTAATTATAAAAGAGATACATCTTTTGATTGTATATGGTATTATAAGAAGAAGTTTCAAAACTATAGCTGGATTATTATCAAAGTACTGCACTTAATTTTTATTCCAAATTTAACCCTCAAATTGCAGATTTTTTTACATACTTTTTTAAAATTAAAAGATTCTCTCTCGAGAAATGTGGTAGATGGATAGACGTACATTAATTTCACCTACATGTGGCTGTAGGTGGTGTGACCTACTAAGGGGACCTCACTTAGATTCAATCAGTTCTTTGTAGACTATTCTACTATCAGGGGAGAAATGTTAACCGAGGAAAAAAAAGAAACTCAATTGTTTCCATTTAATCACTAATGTATATCAGTATTTTTTAAAACAATTGCACATCAATGTTTAATTCAACAACAGAAAGTCAAGCTGCATTTTATCGGATGCAAAATTTGAACATAGAGACGACTAGTGTATGTTTATTAGCGTTTATTTTCACTTATCAACTAAAGTTAAGGGCTAACAAAGTTCCTGGTTAATAATTTTGTTGCTAGTGAAGAAGGGGATTTTCTACCAGACATGGCTTATCTGATGGCATAGCTCAGGAACTAGAATGATTAAATTAGACCAAACTCTCTTTCCGTATTCTTAGAAGGTTTTTTTTTACTCAACCATTCCACTAACAGGCTAACAACTTCTAATGTAAATACGTAACGATAGACTGAACATCTACGAAAAGGGTATTTCCTTCCAGATATACCTTATGATATTGATGATAAACTAGTATGATCATGTTCTTCAGTACGGTATCTTTTATTTTTACTCAACGACTCTAGTTAAGGAATAATTTTAATTAGGCTAAACGTCTAACTCTCTTTAAATTGGTGGTCATTGGCTGCTTGCTAGTCAAGAAGGAGATTTCCTTTCAGACATGACGTATCTGATGACACAACTGATGAACTAGTAAGATGAGATATTGACAAGTAAAGGAAGTGATCAGTCTAAGAGATATGACTATGATTTATTGACTATAAAATATGAATGTGTTCTGGTATTCTATCTGATAACAATAAATAAATAATCCACAAAGTCTCTATTATACTGCTAATGATGACGAAGCTGATACAAAATCATTTACCGGTTTTTATTTTAATAACCAATTCCATGATTTGTCTGGCCATTGTGACCTATTGAGTATCCACAATTACCATAATACATTAAATTTATCTTCCAAAAGATACTTCCTCAATTCAAGAAGAATTTTTTTCAATCATGTTTTCTAAATTTTCTTTTCGGCGTATAAAAGATGCCACAGGCCAACTTAGCGAGTGAAAAAAAAGAATAACTGGTTTTTCAACTTCTGGTTACTGGTAACATTTTCGCTCACGTGGCTCCGTGATAAGCGCTACAAATCAGGCCCTCGGACGTGTTATACGGATGGGTTTTCGGTACTTATCGCAGAAAGTAGGGTATCTATACAAAGCTGAACCACTGACATTTTATGCCTGGCTTTTAATGTGCCGATTTCCGTAAATAACGTCCAAGGAACGGATTGGTCGGGCTACTCCAGTGTATGTAATTAATCCAATTAACACCTCAAAGTAAAATATAGACAATGCCTGGTATAATAAGGTTAACAAGTACTATAACATTAGACAGTTGCAATGTGATTTTAATTCCATGGAATTTGTATGCCACTGCCATATCATATAATTGGAATTTCTGTCTTGCAGGCTATAACACAACCTTACTTGAAACTTGTAGCTGATGAAGCTAATTTCATGTAAACGAGTCAGTTGCCTTCTTCTTGAAATTTAATTGTTTTCTGACTTATTCACCTCATCTCTACTATGTCTATTTATTTCATTAGATTAATGTGTTTTTATGTCTCACGAATCACAATTTCAACCAATACTCTTTCTACAAAAATCTCGATATCCAATCAAAAAAAAACATTTGTAAGATTCTCTAAGAATCAGTGGGTCAGAAAGACATTCTGCTGCGAGAACACACATAATTAATCTTAAAAACACCTGCCTTAAAAACTGAATACTGTTTCACGTGTCGGAAGTTGTCGAATATCAAACTAGATTCCGAGCACGACAAGAATATTGTATTTCAAATTAATACAAATATCATCTTAGTCCACTCACGGTTTATCTGCATCCATGCACGTAGTTATAGAGAGTTTTGTAAAGATGACTTGTTTTAACATTGTAATAATGATCGTGTAATTTTCTGCTTCATCTGAAAAGGAACCGAAAATGACAACTAGTGATTTATGTAGTTCAAGGTGAGGTTATACATGTATGTCTTTTTCTCAGATAAATAATAAAATTATTGCGATCAGTTCCATCCCTTGACTAAATTGGAGAATTGTGTTTACATTAGTTTCCCTTGAATTTTTTTAATTCGACGGTTAAGTCGCTGTTTCCGACTTGTTGTGCAGCTATGACGGGCGTGGCGTCAGGCAGGGTAGGCTTAGTGTTCTAGACACCTGATACCACTTTTCATTATGAAATATTTTCTCATTTATGATTGAAAAGGTAATTGGTGTTCGGATCAAACCTAAAATGACATATTTTATCATGCTATTGATCAACTATGGTAACCATAAATTGCGAAGGCGATTGTCACCTTCCTCATGTGAAAAGTTCATTAGCTGCTACCAATGATTCACCAAAATGTGTTGGATTTCATTTTGCGGTTCGGGTAGTTAGTACTTTGATTCGCTGATTTGATAGTGATCCGTAATTGATTTATATTAAACAAATAGTACATCAGATAGTCTAACAAACACTTTAGAGATTGCATGATACCAACACAGTGATTATACGGCTACTGGTATTAATAAAGTTCATGAAAATAATAAAATTAAATGAACCATATTATATATCATTTGACCAGATACTGTACATATGAACTGAAGCAATTTTGTTCGATTTCTCAGCAAGAAGAACTAAAAAATCCTACTTTTACAAGTAGGTCATTGAGACAAGAACATATTAGTCATAGTTAATACCTCAGTCACTGTGGTAAGCTATCCAGAACAATTCACGGCTCCAGACTCGGGGTTTTAATTGATTTCGACACAAAGTAGAAAAGCTTACTGTTTTTAAAGTGATCTAATACAGGTTTTCTTGATTTGTTCGGGACATAGATAGTTTCTCCCTGCACCTTTCCACATGTGTGTCAAATCTGCACGATTTATATAATTCTATATAACTTTACTAGATGATGAATTCAATGGTTTCCTTGAGAGCTTTTAGCGATTGTGAATTTTTTTAACAGCGGACAGAAAATCGAAATGTTACTTAAGCTATAAGTACCCCTGATACATATACAAAGAAGAGAAAAGATTGTTGATCCTCTTTCACAAGACTTTGTTCTTTGAGAAAGG